TCTGTAAAGAATCTCTCTCCACATAATTATAGCTCGAGGATGCCTTAAGACTTAAGGATGCCTTAATACCTTAAGACTTGTTCTTCAAAAGGAGAAGGCCTACAGCAGCTCTTCTGTTGAATGCAGACCTTCCACAACCCCTCTATAGGCAGAAAATTGTTTAAATATTCGACCACCTACTGCAGCTTGTAGGGAGGCTGAAAAGAATTCTGCTATAGACAGGTGTGTTACTACAGCTCTTCTGTAGACAGAAAACCTGTATATAAGTCTTCTCTATAGACTGAAAATCTCTATTATAGCCATATATATAGATTTTCTATAAACAAAATTCCTTTGACTCTTCAATAGACAACTCTTTTGTAGGTGTGAAACCTACTATAGATCTTCTATACAAAACTATCTTTCACAGAACTTCTATAGACAGAAATCAAACGACAGCTCTTCCGAGATATTAGGCCTTAAGACACTCGACAGTTCTTTCAAGGGCAGAAGGCCTACTGCAGTTCTTCTGTGGAATGTAGACCTTTTATAACTCTCATATAGCCAGAAGAATTTTTTATGAAAAATCGACCACTCTGGTCCAAAGAAAGTCTACTGCAGCTCTTGTGTACATAGAATACACTTCTACAGACCAAAGACTTCAAGTTGTTGTTCCTGAAACAATTCTTCTGTAGAAAGGTTTTCTACTAAATCTTCTACAACTCTCAGGACATACATAGATCTTCTATAAACATAATATATTTCACGGATCTTATATAGACCAGAAACGCACAATAGCTCTTCCCGAGATAGGATGCCTTAAAAGAATCTCCTGCTTCTCTGATTTACTACTGACAAAAGACCTGCTGCAATTCTTCCATATATAGAAGACCTTCTAGAGCTCATCAATAGGCAGAATATAGTTTACAACTTTTTCACAGAGGTAGGATATATGTATATCTCTTCTATAAGCAAACCCTTACCAGAACATAAACGACAGTTACGGGGCCTTAAGAACCTCGGTAGTTCTTCAAAAGACACGAACCACCTTTTAATTGTCTATAGAAGTGTTATAGAAGGGCTGCTATTACTCTTCTATAGAAGAAACAGTTATTCTAGGCAGAAGACCTACCCTATAGGCAGAAGACCTACCCTATAGGCAGAAGACCTGCTTCAATTCTTCTTTGGACAGCAGATCTTTGCAACTCTTCTATAGGCAAAAAACTACAGATTTCTAAAGATGAACTTTTCCAACTCTTCTATACACTAAAGACCCTAACATCTATAGACAGAATATGTTCATCAGATATTATATAAGACAATCTCTCATATATCGTCAATTGACTAAGGACTTCTTCTATCTCTTCCAAATGGTATATGTATAGAAGACAACTATTTTAGGGACATAAGACCTAATAATAGCTATCCCAGAGATATTTTCTATAGACTATAGACATTCTATAGCTTCTCTATAAACAGAAGTACTTATACAGCTCGTGACAGAAGTCACCTTGCGGAACTTATATAAGTAGGAAACTAACCTAAAGGCCTTCTATAAACTCAAGGTCTTAAAATAATGTAAAGGCCCACCACAGCTGCCTCATAGCTAACCTTGTTCTAATTGTTAGAACCAGGATTCTCCTACAAATTTTAAAATGCAAAACAAAAACTGAACTGATTCTATTCATTAACTGTACACTATGGGACTGTACGCACAATTATAATAGACTCGCTCACACACACACATACATGCGCATACGCTCTTCCGTTATAATTATGTAAATCCTATTATAATTTAGGTCATTTCCGTTAATGGAAAATATCAAATAAAACTTTTAACAAAAAAAGCTAAACTGAACTGAACTACATACCAGCAACGGGAAAACAATGACCTGTACTTGGGCATTCATAAAAAAGGAAAAAAAAAACTTTTTTTATTGAATGGTAGCGAAAAAAACGTCCAGCTAGGCAACTGATGGGCATTTGAAAACTATTTCTCCGGAGTGATAGTGGCCGATACACAAATTGTATGCATGCAAGTGCTAAAAACCGACAAAGTGAGTGCCTCTGGATGCCCGGAAGGATGGGATACAAAAAAAATGCAAACTCAACGAAACATTGCTGCAATATTGTTTCTTCTTGGGTTTTTTGGCGAACAAAAAAAAATTCAAGCCAATGGTTTTCATCGGAACAATTTTGTTCTGGCCCCGTTATTCTTTTGTGTATATTTCTTGCAATTGATTTTTTTTTTGTTTCTAATTTTTTTTTGTTTTCGCTTTGCTTTTCCTTTATGTTATCCCCCTGCCATATCAACTATACATCATCTTTTGCAACGGTTTGGTCTTTATGTTATCAACACTTTAAACATCCTGGCACGGGTTCCTGTATGCATGCCTGGCTGCCTGCCTGACTCCGCTGTTATGCCAACGGCAACGACAATGATAACCATTTCTCTTCAATATTCAATTCATGGAACCTATCAAACATCCAAAACAACGAACCACCTCTCGGACTATCTATGAATGCTGCCAACATGTGTGATGATGGTGTGATGGTGGTGTTCCTACACAAACAACGACAACAACAACAACACACCGACAACGGCAACAATTCCTTTCTGCCATCATAGCCAAGTACCAATTACAAGGCAGAAAAAGTCATGTCAGATAAACTGAATTTTAACAAGAACACCGGAATACGAGAAGCCGCATTGTTGATGGTCAAAGAGAAGTGTGGACGTTATGCCCTGATACGTGAGCCATTGTATTTGGATCGGTGTGTGGTATGCAGTGAAGCTGATTGGGATGAATATTTTGAGATACAGGAGATCTCATCGAAGGATACGTTCATATTTAAGGTAAGTAGTCTTAGAATAATATGCATACATATGTGTATCCACACACACACCCACAACAACAACTACATTGATATGTACATGATTATGTTGGTGTGTATGTAGATATGTATGTATGCGGGTATGACCACAGCATGCTGTAGTGCTGGAGCCCAAAAGCCCATAATGTTGTTAGACACTTCATTCGTATGTAACATAAAATCTATTCTATGATCATGGGGATTATTTGAATAAATAAAGGAACAACCATAATAACAACAACAACAACAAGAACAAAGAATATGAATTGTAATAACAAAAGCTTCTTGTTGTGAAAGATGTTTATTGTTTTGTCATAATACACAAAGAATTTAAGGTAAAAAACACCGAATTTTTAAAGATCTGAAACAGTGAGGATTTTTTAAAAGTCCAATATTATGATTTTTAAAAGGTCGAACGAAGAACGGTGTTTTTAATAAAAATGTTTTGAAAATGTAAACAAGTCTTGGATTTCAAGCAATATTTTTTAGAAAGCTTTAACCATCGGGGTTTTTTTTAAAAAATAGTCTTTTGAAAGCTTTAAACAAGCTCGAATTTTTAATGAATATATTTTCTAATTATAATTTCTTTTAAGGTCCAGCTAAGGCGATTTTCTTAGTAAAAACGTTTTGCAAATCTAAAAAATTTGGATTTTAAGGAACATTTTATTGAAAGCTTCAAAAAAATGTGGATTTTTAATAAATAAAACGTGGTTCTTAAATAACGTTTTTAAAAGTTTTAAAAAACATGGACAGATGGACGGACGGACACACATGTATAGATCGACCCAGCTAGTCGAGATATGACGATCGGTATACTTAAAGGTGGGACTAGGACCAATATTTCGCGGCGTTACCCTGACAACATAGTTGTGTAGGGTATAAAAATCCCGAATTTGTTGGAGATTTCAAGAAAATATTCTCCAAAAATCTGGACTTTGTTGGAGATTTCAAGAAAATATTTTCCAAAAATCCGGACTTTGTGGTAGCTTTCAAGAAAATATTCTAAAAATCCTGGCTTAAAAGCTTTATTTTTCCGTGGATTTTAAAAGAAAAATAAAGCTTTTAAGCCAGGATTTTTAGAATATTTTCTTGAAAGCTCCCACAAAGTCCGGATTTTTGGAAAATATTTTCTTAAAAATCTCCAACAAAGTCCAGATTTTTGGAGAATATTTTCTTGAAATCTCCAAGAAAGTACGGATTTTTATACCCTACACAACTATGTTGTCAGGGTAACGCCGCGAAATATTGGTCCTAGTCCCACCATTAAGTATACCGATCGTCATATCTCGACAAGCTGAGTCGATCTAGACATGTGTGTCCGTCCGTCCGTCCGTCCATCTGTCCATTATAATTTGTAAACACAATACGGGCTACAGTTATGGACCAATCTTCAAGAAGTTTTGCATGAAGGATGGGTTCTGGCCAATGAAGACCGCTATTGTTTTTGGTAAAGATCGGTTAATATTTTGGGGGATGAAATGGACCAAATACTAAATTTTTGTCGGTTTTCTGGTCGCTCCAGAGGCCGCAATTATGGAGTAGGGATCGGGCCAAAGAATGAGCATGCCTGTTTTGATAAAGATCGGCCAATATTTGACTTTTGACTTTTGTGCGAAAAATTACAAAATTTGTATTCTATGGCGTATATATTAACTCCCGAAGGACATAGACCGGAGAAGTTGATAGTATATTCAAGAGGAGTGGTTGACCTTTAAATTGATACCAATTATATGGTCGTATGTACTTGGATGTGGGAGTTAAATATTTAAAGGTTCTTATGTATTCAGATATTATTTAGTAACCTATCATCACACTAGAGGGCGGAAATATAGCTCTGATCGCTTTGAAATTTTCCATGAGGATCCATGTATGGTCAAGTACAACGCCTATAATTTTCGCTGATGATCAGATAATAGTATTGGGAAAAAGTGGACCGAAAATTTAATTTTTTGTATTATTTCGAGTCGATCTATAGGCCACAATTGAAAGCCTAACATAGCAAGACAACCCACGGTGAAGGGAATATGGCCAAGAAAATAGAAGGGTTGTTCTGAATATTAGTAATATTGATTGACCTCTAATCGGTCAAGTGTGTGGAAATATATCGAAATGCTCAGAATATAGAACCACAGAAAGTTAGATTTTCGTGGAAGTTGTATAGGGTATCATATGGTCGGCCCCGTCCGACTATACTGCACCGCTCACTGGTTGAAGGTTGTTTTCTTGAAGCCTGAATTTTTAATTAACGAAGCCTCACTGTCGTACAGTGTATTATGTCTGTGTGCATATGTTTGTAACAGGTAAAAGGAAACGAGATAGACCCATGGTCCCTTTTGAGAATATGCATAGAATCACTTTCTCAGTCGATCTATGCATGTCCGTCCGTCTGTTGATGTTAAATTGTAAAAAAAGTGAAATATATAGAAGAACTTTTACAGGACTTCTATATAATGTAGATACTATATACCACTATCGACCTAGAATAGAAAGATGTCCTAACTAACTTCAATGAAGCGAAAAACGTTTACAGGTCTTCCATATGTTTAAGACCCTTTGCAATTCGTCTATAGATATATCATCTTCAGGACCATCATATAGATAGAATAACTTTCATAGACAACGGACCTTCTATAAGTTTTCTGATCTGATCTTCTATATAGAGAAGTGCTTTTACAGATCTTCCATATGTTGGAGACCCTCTGCAATACTTCTCCACACAGCATATCATCTTCACGTTCGATATATTGATAGAAGAGTTTTCATAGACAGAGGACATTCATAGAACTTCGATAGGTAGATGACGTTCTACAGAGCTTCTATAAACGGATAACTTTATGCAGGCAGACGATTTTATACATTTATATCATTCAGCATGAATTATACAGATCGAGGGCCTTCCATAGACGTAAATTAGCGGTCGAACACAATCTTCAGGATTTTTCAAAACATAAGACCGTCTAAAACTTTAACATTATAAAGGTCTATTTGCATGAAATTTGGCACAGCGTATGAATTATGCCTAAAATGATATCTGTTACAGGTTTCTGGAAAACAGCTCATTTATATGGCTCCCATATGAATTTTTGTACCTATTGAAATTGGTGCAAAATCGTTCAGATATATCTTTCGATTTGCATGAAATTTGGCACAGCCTATTGAATTATGCCTAAAATGATGTCTGTTAAGTTTCATGGAAATCGGTACAGATTTCGATATAGCTCCCATATATATTTTTGTCCGATTTAAGGTAAATGGTGCAACATCGTTCCTATTTATCTTTCGATTTGCATGAAACTTGGCATAGCGTTCTGAATGAAGCCTAGAATGATGTGCTCTAAGTTTCGTGAAAATCGGTACAGATTTAGATATAGCTCCCATATACAATATCGGCCGATTTAAGGTAAATGGTGCATCAAAGGCCCTATATATCTTCTGATTTGCACGTAATTTGGCACAGCGAACTGAATTAAGCCTAGAATGATATATGTTAAGTATCGTGGAAATCGGTACAGATTTCGATATAGCTCCCATATACATTATCGTCCGATTTAAGGTAAATGGTGCATCAAAGGCCGTATATATATCTTCCGATTTACACGAAATTTGGCACAGCGTACTGAATTAAGCCTAGAATAATGTATGTTAAGTTTCGTGGAAATCGATACAGACTTAGATATAGATCCAATATATATTTCCGTCCGATTTTATATTAATGGCGCACCAAAGACTCTACATTTCTTTCAATTTGTACGAAATTTGGCATATCGTATAGAATTAAGTCTAGAAAGTTGTATGTTAATTTTCGTGGAAATCGGTTCAGATTTAGATATATCTCTCATATATATTTTCGTCCGATTTAATGTAAATGGTGCAACAAAGTCCCTATATATTTTTCGATTTGCACGAAATTAGACATGACGTATTGAATTGATTCTAGAATGATCTGTGTTGTTTCGAGAAAATCGGTTCAGATTTAGATATAAGCTTCCCAAAAGTCGTATATAAGTAAAGTATCCTACAGGCCTTCTCTACAAAAAAAGGCCTTCATTTCAGTACAATCCACAGTTACATTTTCAGTTACTTTTGTTTACCAAAAAAAAACGTATTTTATTTATTTTAATTCATAAAATTTCTTCTTCTTCCTTCATCTTTTTTTTTGTCTAGGCTGAGGATAATGCCCGCACCAAACAATGGTACACCCAACTACAGTATCATGCTCAGGGTATGGGAGCATGGCGTAAAAGGCGTAACGCTCTGGCCAATATTATGATTAATGGCATGTTGACACGTAGCTGAATCCCAGCGAGGTGGGAATTTTTTGTGGAACCAAGGCCATAGTTTTGGCAGTGACCGAATACACGAATTAAAACGAACTACACACTTCAATTGAAATACAAACAATCTGAATTGAATTTACAGCAATTCAGCAAACGACTTAGGCTAATGCGAATGTGACCTAATTAGCGTCACACACACACACACACACACACAAACATACATGGAAACACCTAAATGGAAAGCAACTACAAAAACGAGACACGAGTTAGCTTGTAATTATACTACTCTTCAACGAGTTCATTGTACAATTTGTAAATCTTTGTAAAATTTATGAAATTAATTTCCCTTTCATACAACAACAACAATAAAATCAATAACAACAACAACAAGTGATGTTATTTAAAATTTATTTTGTTAGCTTGGATTAACATTTGATATTTGTTTCCGTTTAAACTTAACAGAAAATAAATATAAGAAAACAACAATATCTATAAATAATAACCTAAATACATATATATTTATATATAAATATATCAATATGTAACGTATTTGTTATCAACAATATATATAAGCCTCTTTTATTATCATATATATATATATATAAATATTACCAACAATCTATATAAATAATTTCAAAGTATATTTTGGTTTATAATACACATATTATTATATAAGATGATACAAAACAAACAAACAAAAAAACATTTAAATATTTCTCATGACATCTGTATATACAACATACATACACACATATGTAATATTTGTATGTATGTAGGTTGGTAATATTTTTGTAATTTATATTTTATTGTTATTAGAATTAAAACCATGCAACGCATTTATTTGCGAATATTTTCCAATATTAATTCATGAAATAATAATTATTGGCCGCCGATACACATAACATGCCTGCATGTGTGTGCTTGTTTGTTTGTTTGTGTGCGGTTTATAAAAATTATCTCCTCTCTACGAGTATATACACTTTTTTTGTTTGTTTATATATATTTTATTACGATTACTACTACAAGCATACACACATACATATATAATTACTATTTGGTATATTTTGTAATTAGAATTGCGAGAAAAAAACGCAGCAACAACAAAACCTAAAATAAAATAATAAATAAAGTTATTAAAAATCGATTTTATGCATTTGATATTTAATTATTAAACGTAATTGGGGTGTGTTGGAATGAACATGTGTGTTTCCAAACTACCTGTCCATTCCAACACTGATTTGGAGTTCTGTTTTTTATTCGTGCAACCGTAAGTAGGAAGGCTTGTGGCTCATGGGTATATACACGTTGCTACGGCAAAAATGTGCCTAATATATGCATATTACATATTACATTATGGCAATCTCTGAAACATGGCTTGTTCCTGAGATTCTAGACTCTGCGGTTTCTATTCCGGGCTACAACTTCTGCCGTGCTGATCGTCAGATGCAAAGCAGAGGTGGTGGTGTAGGGATATATTTATCGAAAGAAACAAATTTAAAGTTATTTTTAAAACGTCAGTTTACCATTGTGAATCATTGTTTGTAGAGTTACAGTTTCAGAGTATGAAAGTTATTTTTGGTGTTGCTTATTTGCCTTCAGGTGATATTGATTTGTTCGAAAGCCTCCATTGTGATTTTTTGGCAGAGTACAGAGACATTGTTATTCTTGGCGACTTTAACTGCGACTTGTTCAACCCTAATAAGGCTAATTTGTTTCGCGCCCTATGCACTCGATTAAATTTGAGCATTGTTCATAACTCTAGACCCTCACATTTTGACCTCGGTAGCCGTTCTACATCCTTAATTGACTATATGCTAAATCCTTCTATGGTAGCTTACTCAGATCAGATTCAGTCTCCTGCTATATCAGACCATGCTTTTATTTTTGCATCGCTTGCAATAAAATCTTATTTTTCACCTGATTTCATTGAATACAGGGACTATAATAGCATTGATTGGAATGGTCTGTGTGCGTTTCTTGGAACCGTTGAACCTGACATGTTTTTTGGAAATATTGATGTGGATTCTAAATGTGATTCTATATGTTCTCTTTTGGATTCCCTTTTTTCATTTGTTCCTATTGTTAAAAAACAAATTAAATATTCGTTTGATCCATGGATGTATTCTAGAGATGTAAGATTTGCCAGGTCATTAAGGGATTTAGCTTTTTGGTCTTTTCAAAACAATCGATCAGAAGATAATTGGCGGATATATTGTAAATACCGCAATAGAGCCAAAGCTATCATTCGTCGGGAAAGAAGATACCACTTCTCAAGGCTATATAGAGGAATGGATTCTCGTGGGTTATGGAGAATATTAAAGGGTTCTGTATGCGTTGGCAATGATCACGAGCATATTGATATGGATGTGAATATGATAAATGAATTTTTCTCTAGTACACCTTCAAGTTCTGATGTTTCTACCATTGATATAGAAAGCTTTACTGAATTTGATACATCTTTCTCGTTTCGTTGCGTGGATGAATCCGAACTTTTAGATGCTTTATGTAGGGTGAAGTCTAAATCAATAGGAGTTGATGGAATCCCCATTACATTTATTAAAATCGTTTTCCCCTATATATCTGAGATCATCTTGGACTTGGTAAACGCTATATTAACTTCGTCTACTTTTCCCCTATGTTGGAAAACTGCTCGTGTGATACCACTACCTAAATGCCGTTCGGTTAATGAACCAGGTGATCTCAGACCTATATCAATTTTACCAGCACTGTCGAAGGTTATGGAGTATATTATTAAGAAACAAATGCTTGAGGTTTGTTCATCTAGAATTTGTGATTCTCAATATGCTTTCCGTCAGGGTTACAACACCACTCATTTGCTTCTTAAAATGACTGATTCTATCCGTGAATTCATTAATGAGGACAAATTAAGTGTTTTGGTATCATTAGATTTGTCTAAAGCATTCAATTCTATTGATCATGATAAGCTCGTATGGAAACTTAAGAATAACTTTGACTTTTCTAAATCAGCCTGCAAGCTAATATTGTCTTATTTGAGAGATCGGAGTCAGTTTGTTGTTCTAAATAGTGCCAAATCTAATTCTTGTTCATTATTTTCTGTTGTACCCCAAGGATCTGTACTTGGACCACTGCTTTTTATTTTATATGTGAATGACCTTGCTCTTCACATAAACACTTCAAGCTGTACGACATATTTATTCGCTGATGATATTTTCCTGCTTTTTAATGGTAGTCCTAAATCTCCTAACACTTTTGAAAGGGACATAAACTTGAATCTAGATCGCTTTGTTGATTGGGCAAACAGAAATGTTCTGAATGTAAACCCGTTAAAAACTAAAGCTTTGTATTTTAGGAAAAATGGCCGAGCATATCCTCTAAATATTTATATAGGTCAAGAAAGAATTGATTTTGTACACCACCATAGATGTCTAGGTGTTATAGTTGATTGTGAACTATCCTTTAAATCCCATATTGATGCATTGACCGGTAAAGTATGGGGCACATTACGTAGGATTTATTCTAATTTGTACTTAAATCATCGGATAAAGCAAATTCTAGCTAATTCCCTTTTAATGTCTCAGGTTTTATATGGACTTGAAGTATATTCTGGGACAATTGCTTTTAATATGGAAAGAGTAAAACGGATTGTAAATTCTATAACGCGGTTTGTCTATAATCTCAGGCGAGATAGTCATGTGTCACGATATGTTAAGCAGTTTCTAGGGTGTTCCTTTGACATGTTTGTTAAATATCGTTGCTCATTCCTTTTTTATAAAATAATTAAAAATGATTCCCCCGTATCCTTGAGAATTTTATTTTCTTTTTCAATTTCTTCTAGAAACCCACAGGTCTGTATTCCTAGAATCTATAAAAATATCTTCGCAAGATCTTTTTTGGTTAGAGTTGCGAGATGTTGGAATACCCTTCCACTTGAATTACGTGTTTTTTCACATAGTAACAATGTTTTCCGTTTAAAAGTTCTATGTCATTTTGACAATTCCCTACAATAATGTGTGGATATTCTTATACATGTGCTGCTTATTGGAAATATGTTAAAATCTATATTTGTTTTTATGGCTGGGGAGCCTTCATTCTATTTTTATCAAAGTAAAATTAGTTATATTTATTTAGGTTTAATATATAATGTATCTCAGGCTATGTATATTTGTCAGCTGATACGTATTAATGGCCTTAAGGCTTTGTATCATAAATGAATTTGAAAATAAATAAATAAAATAAAATAAATATAGACCACATGTTTCTTTGGACCAAATCGGTTTCAGGCAATTTGGAGTCGATTTGCAAATGTCCGTCCGTCTGCCAGTGAGTTTGTCTGACTGGTGCGCACGAAGGAAGCACCCGATTTTAATCAAACTTTGAACATCGTAATATTTCATTCAAACTTAGATCAAGATCAAAGTGTGGAAATATCGGTTCATTCCTTCTGGTACCTCCCACACAAAATCGAAAAAAAATTTTGAAAAATTGTTAATCCGATAACAACAGTATGGAATGTCGTTCCAGCTAACAATTTGTTTCGAGTATTTTCCGAATTCGAAGCGATACTCTGCAAAAGTTTCTGATTCTGATACCGATTTCATACCGAAATCGGGAGTTGACCATCAATTCGGAAAGTTTTGTCGCAAAATAATCGGAAGAGACATTCGTTTAGAATTCGCAAAGAAACTCGGATGAAGTAAAGGGGAAATGTTAAGGGAACTTTCGATTTTCTGCAGAAATTCGGACAAAACTCTGAAGGAACATTCAATAAATGGAAAGTTTTCTGAAATTAAAAAAAATCGGTTGTTTTTATTCGTGAATTTATTGGACGTTTTATTCGAAAAAGGAAACGATTTAATTTTTTGAATAAATAAAGAGACAGTTATTCATTCTTCCCCTTGTGTAATAGAGGGCCGCATTTGGACATTACGACTGGGGGACTTCCATTTCTTCTTCGACGGGGGGGCTTCCATTTCTTCTTCGCATATAAGAAAGATTATCAAAAACATCGAGCTTATACTTTAATATCCTTAATTCCATATAAGAAAAA